CGGCGCTACCGGCGGGCTCGTGTTGATCTGCTGCCCCACCGGCTGCGGGGACACCTGGGCCGGGGGCTGCCCGAGATTCTGGACTAAGGCCTGGGAAGGGGCTTTTGCCACCGGCCCTTTGTTATCCCAAGTTCCGATATCCATGTTATGCTTTATGGGAGGCGGGGGAAGACTGGAACCGGCGATGCCGTTCTTGGTCTTCAGCTTGGGCCGCGCGGAGGGAGCCGCTCCCGACGGCCGAACCGACGACTTTGGGGACGTTGCTGGCGACGTCTGTGCTGCCCAGCTTCAGCGCTGCCATCCCCTGGTCTATGGTGTTCATGCCGGGAGCCTTGTTGAGGGTCTCGTTAGCAAAGGCCGACTGCCCGTCGATCATAGCTCCACCCAGGGAGCTCGGCGCGTACGCGTAATTGCTGCTGTATCCAGAGCTTTGGGTGGATTGTCCCTGAGAACTGTTATTCCCCCAAGCTGAGAAGTCAATCCCGCTTGGGAAGAAGTTAAAGCCGTGCTGCCCGAGGAAGGGGGTGCTGCCGAGGGCCCCCGGCTGCCCGAACATGGCATCTGGCAAGAAGTGAGGCTCCCCGTTGCTCAGCTGCCCGTAGGAGGTCAGGTAGGGCATGGGGGGGTCGCCCCCCGTGGACCAGGCAGCTTCGCCTAACGAGTAGGAGAACCCGATGGACGGGCTGTAGTAGCTCGGTAAGTAGGAGTCGGACATTGCAGTGTACGCATTATTCTGCAAAAATGAAAACAAGCACTGAATGGTTAGAAGAGCAGAACACGCTTCCAGGGACCCGGAATAAAAGGCATTTTGGGCTTCCCGGGCCCCACCCCGCACTACCTTAGGGCTGGGCAGGTAAACAGGCCCGGCCTTGAAACGCCTCCTTTGTTAGAAGTGCCCTAAAAAACAGTTTTGGTGCCAGAAAGATTAAACACAAAGGTATCCCAAGTTTCTCCTTCAAAGACGAGAAAGTATCATGCTCCTCGTGCCCGAAATGGGACTGGCCACTGAACTGCTCGGGCTATAAAATCAGTACCTAGCATAAAAAAACTACTTTCAGTATGTAACACAAAAGAGGGTTTCCCCTTGCCTAGGTAACATACGTATGAAACCTCGCGTTGCTGCTGGCTTGATAGAGACTTTGGTGGAAGGAGGCAGAGGGAAGTGGAATAATACGCAAAGAAAAAGTTCAATGGCAGCAAACTGCCCAAAATCACGCGTGCCTCCAACTGTCTGAGATGCAAGTCACTTCCTTAAACTGATTATCCATGAAGATGGTTTTAGCTGCATAATTTAATATTTCAGCGTTCAAACCACTCCAAGAACCTTGCAAGCAAGCAGAAATGTAAAGCTCATTCTCAAAGCATAAGTTGCTCCAGTGCTGCAAGTACATGCTAAAAAATAAGTGGAAAAAAATGGGGAATAATCAATAGTGTTGTAAGAGGAGCCTTTTATAGCACATGGCGACAAGCACAGCACATGAAAACAGGCTTCGGATTTGGAGAGGAAAAGTTTGCTCTACCTTTTGGTCTCCCTTTTAATATTCAAGTAGCCTTTAGGTTATGAAAACAAATGCCTAATTTGACAATTAGGAAACTCTCAGACATCACTAAGATTTCCTTACATGAAAAAACAGCTGTCATTTTGTATTCAAACCGATGCTCCCTCCGGGGAGCCGTTAAAGCCACACTAATGGACATTATCATCTGGTAATTTGAACCTGGGTGCACCCAGCCCTAGTGCTGCGGAGAGACGCAAGCCGGGCTCAGCTCCTGTGTAAAAACCTGGCTCTGCTCCGCCTTGAATCACGTTTCCGTGTGCCGAGAGGAGCTCCCAAAGGACTCGATGCCATGTTGGAATCTATGGAGGCTCTCAAGATGGCTCTGGCACCCTACAGAAATAGCTTGGCCTCTCCACCAAGTTAAGTGGAAACAACAGGTTATACTTAGCCCCAAATCTACAAAAGCTAATGGGAAATATTCAGCCTAATGCTTTCAGAGACAAGGTTTGTTCTGTTTTGTTAAACACCAAGAAGACTTTTGTGGTACTTTGTAATGTCCATAGACCAAAACTCAGAGACACTCTAAGCTTTCTCTTCTCCCAGATAAGGGCAAAAACAAGTACCTAAAAACAACCTCAAGACTCATTAGGGGTACTATTTTAATAATTCAGAAACTCGGTCCTGCAAAACCCAAACCAACAGAACAGTCTCCAGGGCTCAATCTGTCCAAAAGTTGGCAGCACGAAGAGTGACATTGACTCTAAAGGGTAATTTGTAATGCAAATAAAGGAACTTGGAAAAAAAAAAAGTTAAGCCAACAAAGTATCTTTGAAGGATAATATCAATTTTAAAGGTAACCCGAATAAACTCTCCTGGAAACTGGCTTTAATGCAATGTGTACATGCCAGCCTGTACTTCAAACCTGAACCTAACAGTGAGGAGCAGAGTTTTCTCTCCACAGGATTCTCCCTCAAATCGCATAACGCACATCCCTGTCGGATGAAACTCTGGGCTCTTGCCACGTCTAAATCCTCTTCTCTGCTGTTACACACTTAACTTCAGGAGGTAGCTTAACACAGACTGCATTAAGGTACCACCTGTAGAACCCTAACGGAGCACAGCAGCCAAGGGACAGCTGTGCCACCAAGTCGGAGCCTGCGGAGGACACGAGCGGTTCCCTGCCTCGCTTTGCGGAGCTCCGCTCGGCCACGCGGCGCACACGGCAGGGACACACTGACTGACTAGCAAACAAATTGTACGTTTATATATTTATAATGCAAATAAACTTCACCAGCTTCTAGTCCTCGCCCATGACTTTTTGCACAGTTATTTCCTCAAATTCACTCACACTCCACCTCAGACGAGAACTGGTGTTTGGGCCTGGTTATTGCTGCTGAAGTTTCTTCTATTCTTTTTGTTCCAAAACTGTTTAAGAACCACTTACTGTGCACCTGAGCTTTAAAACATACAGTAACCTAATTTACTAAGCCAACAAGATAGCAAGTTGCACCTGAAAAAGTAGCCCTTGAATTAAGAGCCATGACACCCTGTGACTTAGTTACCCACCATTTATGTGAAAACTCAGAGAGCAATTTCAAGAACATCCCTGCTACTATACAGCTGCATTTAATTTTTTTTTTTTTTTTGAGTCCTATCTGTCATTCCCTCCTTCATCTACAGGAAAGAGATGTGATCGGGGACAGTTTTGTATCAGCAGCTCAGCTTATTGGCTCAGCAACACCACAGTGACCTCCAGCCCGAACCCTGGGTTTCTGTTCTGTATTATATGGGTGAGAGCAGAAAGGCAACACAACACAGGGAGAAAGCGAGATAAAGTCATCCTAAAGTTTCATTCAAAATCAGCATGGCATTTTACCTTGCTCTTGATGAATGTCTAGAGCGACACCTCTGCCTCATCTCCTGGGGATGCTCCAATCACTTTTTTCCCCCCTGTCCTTTCCTTTTTCTTAACTATTTTTGTGACACACACAAAGCAAAGAAACTAAATAAAAGTTGTTATGAAATGCAAAGAGCAAAGAGAATAGAATAACACTTTGCTTCTAACATTTTAATAACATTCACCCTGTTTAGATTTAAATAAAACTGTACTCTGCATGAAGTTTCTCCATGTCTAGAAGGAGCCCAGAAATTGGTGATGTTAATTTGAAGGACAGAAAAAAATAAAATTAATTTAAAAAAAATAATCAAATGAGTAGAGCAAGGAAAGTATCCAGTTTTATTTTTGACCTAAAAACCAAATTACTCTCACTCATTCAATGCAATTCCAATGTAGGCTTGTAGCATTTTAGGGAAACAAACAGCAAGTGTTCTTAATGGAGAGGCTGAATTCTGAGGATTACAGAAGAGTTGGCAGGACCTTGAAGAATATCTGCTCTTATACTTTTAGCACAAAGTAGGAACACACTTGTTGAAAATTAAAAAGTGAGACAGAAGTCTGTTCTTGGGTTCAAAAGAAATAGATACAACAGAAAACAATATAGAAAGAGGGAAAAAAAAACATAAGTTATTTTTACTAATCACAGCTGGAGGAGAAAGAAGTTAACAATGAACTAAGCACTCCAGTGCCAGCCTTACTACAGATGTTTATCTATACTGCTTACTTATAATATCTAATCAGCTGGACTCCATCTGTTATGTGTCACTCCCCTACTGCTCATAAAAAAAGAAAATAGAAAAAAAAAAAGTTATCGATGGAGCTAACTTTAAATAAAAAGTTAAAAGGAAAAACACATGGAAGTACGACTTCCAAGGAGCAAAGTGTAAACTCCTTTCAATTAAAAGTTTCAACAAGTCTCTAACAGCATTTATCATATCTGTATTCTGGGGGTTTTGGATGAAAAAAATAGAGAAAACCCCATGACGTGCGTTTTCAGTTTGATAGAGATAAGAACATTGATCATATCCTCCCAAAAGGCTCCCGAGCAGTACTGTATTTTACTAAGAAATGTCACAGTGCAACAAGGTGCCTCTCGCAGCACCAAGACCCAGACACAAGCAAGGAAGTTGGGTCATAACAGTAAAACTGAAAGATCAGAAACGGTAGCTTCAAGATAATTAATAATTCCTGCCATTGAAAAAAAAATGAATTGAACTCTCAGTGCAGGAAGTCTTTACACCCAGGAAAGTTACTAAACCCTTGTCCCTAAAACCCCATAATCTAGCAGTTCTCGGTGTGGAGAAACACACAGGTGGACTGAGGGCTACAGAACAACTTGCAGAAAACGGGTGCACACTAAATTGGTGGAGATAGGGAACAAAAGCGGTGCCAGAGCTGCCTTAGCCAGAAAGCAGCAGGAACCAGGGGCCTTTGGGCACATCCTGCCCGCGAGCAGCCGCTCTCACTCACCGGCCTGGCCTGGGGGCTCAAGTAGGGCTCGAAGTCGTCGTCGTTTAACCCGTCCTTCTGGTGCACGGAGCCATTTTGCACTGAGGGAAGAGAGGGAAGCGCGTTAGGGAGAACTCGGCCAACAGCCCCAGACCGCGAAGCCCCGGGCGCGCAGGGCGCGCGGCCGCCGCAAACTTTCCCCGTGGCCACGAAACGCGGCGCGTTTCGCGGCTCGGAATCCCGTTTTCCTCCAGGCCGCTCCTGGGCGCGGATCCTTCCCGGTCTCCCCCGCTTCCAGCCGCCCCCGGCGCCGCTCACCTTTGTTGCCTTGGCCCTTGGGTCTCTGCGGCGGCGCAGCGGGAACGGGAGAGAAAAAAAAGAGAGGGAGAGCGGTAAGCGC